CTGCTTCCCAAGTGGATACCAAATAAAAGCGGAACTAAAGAACTTGGAAGATTCCATCCGTAATCTGGAATGGGAATCCTGCAACGGTCTAAGATACTCGAAGAAGTGTTTAAAGACTATTAAAGTAAGAACAATCTTCGGATTGTCACGGGGTTTTTGATTATATAAGGGGATACTGTCTCCGCTATGAACACCTCAATCGATTGAAGCTAAGGAAAAACGGCGAATGCAGATTCTGTGGAGAAAAATAGGGAAACACCAGAACACCTCATCACTGAGTGCACCGAGAGGACAACCATTCGTGCCATAAACTTTGGTACGACTGATATTGCAACTGGAGAACTACCCTCTGTAAAACCGTCCCAGATTCCCTGACTCGTTGATCAGATTATACTACATCGTAGTATGTATAAGGAAAAGTAAAAGTAACATCATGTCTTAAAACAATCATGCTGTTGTTCGTTCCATTGAGATGCTCTCTTGATTTCTTAATAAACTTTTATTTTTACTGTCTCACAACTAAACTCATTAATTTTTGTCGCCCTTTCATAATTTACTATAATATTTTTATATATGTGTAATTCAACTGACATCCTTTTATTTATTGCATAATAGCTATGTAGCTTATACCATACCAAAGTTTACAGAATTAAAATTATTTCTGTAAACTATGCTATGAAACTATGAGAATATGATGAACACAGAAATGGCATCAGAGATGACTTTGAAACGAAGATCGATGTCATTTTATATATAAAATTATATACACTCAGATGCAGAAAAAACGCAACGGAGAAATTTTTGGTCAACTTTAAAGTGTTATATTTTGGTGTTTTTAGCCCTATTTTCATTATTTTTTTAGCAAGCTGTATATAATTATATCAACTTTAATTCGCAAACTCACCTTTTTATTAGGTAGTATCTCACTTTAGTATTTTGCATATTATACAGGGTTAATCGAGGGGTTGTTTTTTTACCCTAACTTTAAAACACGTCGTGTGTAAATTTTCCTAAAATATAATTTTACGGTCAAAACCAAGACTTCTGAGCATTTTGTTTTTTCATTCACGTCAATACATGCTTTGGTTATTTTTTAAGAGCGAAATGAATCGATAACGATCAATTTGCAATTTTTTTAATTATCATTACTTTTTTATGTAATTTTTTAATATGACGAGATGGTTTTGGTGACTATTGTCATAACGTCATATTAAACTGCATTGGATACCCTATACTAAATTAAAAAAAACGTTAAAGACTAACGATACAGTCCTAGTTTTAATAGACATTAATAACGATAACCAGAGCTTATGATATTAAAGAAAACACCTGTAATACGCAAGTATACAAACAGAAAAAAAATTGTAAAAAATAGCCTAATACTTTGTATCACGTCCCTTGGCTACTATAACTGTATAGGTCCGTTCATACTGTCATTGAGGCTGCATATATCATATTGCGATATGTTTTCCCATTCTTCTTTAAGGACCAAGCAAAGTACATTTAATGAAGCTGGTACCGCTTTGCGACCTCTAACCCTCCTGTCAAGCATATCCCAAACGTCAAACGTGATGGGCAGTTCATAATAGTATATAGTTCACAATAATCATCAAAGCCCCCTTGTCATATTGAAAAATAACTTGCAATTGCAAAAATTGCAAATTGTTTGTGGCAAGTTCATTTCGCTCTTAAAAATTAACCAAGGCATGTATTGACATGATCATACACACTTTCCAGGTAGCATATCTATTGATACGCAAGTAGCTCCGACCGAACCCCACAATCCTCGCAGGGAAGACAGGGAGACGGCCAAGCTAGTAATAACGGAACAAAAACTGAAATGGGCTATTGACACCTTTCAGCCTTATAAAACAGCAGGAATAGATGGGATATTTCCTGCCCTTCTAAAGGAGGGTCGGGAAATAGCTTCACTCCATCTATTAAACAGATTTTGTGGGGAAAATGGGGAAATACCAGAACACCTTATCACTGACCACACACAATAGATGTATAAGGTCGCGGTGATTAACTCCCCTCCTAAACATTCTACATTCTACATTGACATGATCCAAAAAACAAAATGCTCAGCAGACATGGTTCTGACCGTAAAATTATATTTTAGGAAATTTTACACACTAAATTATTGCAGAGGGTGTTTTAAAATTAAGGTAAATAAACAAGCCCTTGATTAACCCTGTATAATATGAAAAATACTAGTTTATAAAAAACTGAGCTTACGAAATAAAGGTGATATAGTTATATACAACTTGCTAAAAAAGTCATGAAATTAGGGCTAAAATTAACAGAAATATAACACTTTAAAATTGACCAAAAATTTTTGTGTGTAGTTTTGAGTGTAGTTAATATTAGCGATCGTAATTTCCAGGCCCACTGTATACTTTTTTTTATCATATGGTATAATCCTTTATTCTATTGTGTTACTATATCCAATTATTAATTTCAGACGCTATTTTTTATAAGAAAAAGACACTTCACGTTAAAAATAAGAAAACCTTATTATAATACCAAAATATGCTGTTCAGATTAAGTTAAAAATAATCCCTCATCACTCAAGAGCCTAAAAAAATTGTTTTTTAACCCGGATGGTGGACTTTTGATAAGTGCTCAAGGACTTGGGGTGGGTATTTTAGCGTCCCATATTTTATTTGTGTTTCTAATTAAAATATGGTAATGCAAGCTCTAAAAAATCAGCAATTAAGGAGAAGATATATCGGGGGTGTCCTATGACTATAAAACTTCGGTTTTCCATGTAACTTCCTCACAGTAGCTCTTGTCCTTCTCCGGTCAACCGTGAAAGGGTAAGTAAAATTTTGTTATAGCAATATTTATTCGAAAATATTTTAGAGTTTTTTTATACTAACTGAAAATTCAAAATCTTTAAGATCAATAACATGAAACCATATATAATTAAAAAGAAAATCGTAGAATTTTTTTGCGACGGGTGAAATACAATAATTTGATGCCTCAGCGATATGGCTTTGAAATGAAGATCGCTGTCATTTCATATGTAAAATTATGCGCCATTTTTTCTTTTGTTGATCATGCATATGTATACAGGGTTAGTCTTAAATAAATACAACTATTTTCACGGCTGGTCCATTTCGATAAAAGAAATATATTTTCTCTTTGCTGTTTTACAAATGATGCCCAAAATAGCCGATTTTTTTTCAGTTTCACTCGATTTGTAGTGTTTTTCGTTCCCATCTTATCTACTATCTATGTGGCCATCTTTTTAAAATAATTGATATATTTTTTAATTTAAAATTTAAAAAATAAATAGAAATTTTCAAACATCACATTTTTTTTGCGATAAAAGCCATCATAGTTTCTGGGATAAAATGTAAAAATACATCAGACCTGAAAATATTTGCATTTATTTACGACTCATGCGGTATAACGGTATACAACCTATGTATATTGTATACAGGGTCGCTGTTATGTATGGAAATTGTCAATTATTAGTTAAAATATAGAAGATACCGTAAAAAGTTAAACATAAAAATTATATATAGGATTTTTAAATATCTATTAGCGAGTAATAGATTTAAGTATACAGGGTTGGTCATAAAGTCGTGGCACATTAAAGTTTTATTTTTTAAATAGAACCCCTTGTATATTATTGCATATTTCAATTCTTCCTTCAATTCTAAGCAAAAATCGAAATATGCACAATGTACCTCAAACCAACCGTTTCCGAGTTATTGACTTGAAAATATCGCTTAAACAATATGATTTAATTAATTTCGATATGTTCAGTTTCCTTTAAAGATGCAATTCTGCGGAAACTGTGATACTTAATCTTAATAATATTTGACGTTGGTTGTCAAATTAGCATTTATAGATGTATAAAATGAGATTATATCAAGCCTAGAAATTACAAACTTTTCGTTTAACATTCCAATTCTTCAATTTATGTACATTGTGTATTACGATTATTGTTTAAAAAAAAGAAAGAATTAAAATACGCAATAATATACATGGGGGTTCAATTAAAAAAATAAAATTTGATGTGCCACAACTTTATGACCGATCCTGTATACTTAAATTTACTAGTAGCTAATAGGCATTTAAAAATCCATTACAACAGTATCATAGTTTTGGAAGAATGGCATCATTAAATGAAACTGAACATATCGAAATTAAATCAAATTGTTAAGTGATATGTTCAAAAGTCAATAACTCGGAAACGGTTGGTTTGAGGTAGATTGTGTGTATTTCGATTTTTTCTTAAAATTGAGGGAAGAATTGAAATATGCAATAATATACAGGGGGTTCTATTTAAAAAAAATGAAACTTTGATGTGCCACGACTTTATGACCGACCCTGTATACATAAATTTATTACTCGCCAATAGACATTTAAAACCCCTATAATTTTTGTATTTAATTTTTTTCGGTACCTTGTATATTTTACCAAATAATCGACCGTTTACATACATAACAGCGACCCAGTATAAGGTAATAATAAAAGTAAATTCAAGTGTTTTAAGGAAATATAATTTCTATTTGCCATTTATCAAATAAATTTAAAATAACCGAGATATACTTTTCTTAAACCATATTTTTTTAAATGATTTTAACATTTTGAGAACCGTCTGCAAACAGCTTACGCCCTGTATTGTCAAATGAACAAGAATTTATACACTTAATATGACTGAAAAATACGTTGTCATATGATGATAAAACAAGCTGCAATATTTGTTAAGAATTTTATTATTAATAATATCAGTTAATTTGAAAATAACAACAATTTTTGTGTTTCTGAAGTCGAACTATATTCTACCAGTTAATAGGTACTTGCATTTATTTCTCTATTATTACCATTATTACTCTGTATTTATGACTTTTTCAAATTTTCTTTGGAGATATTCCAATAAATCCAATTTTATAAATACTTGTAGTTTATAATATTGTTCGTCTATCTGGTATGTAAATTTACTGAACTTTGGAAGTTTTGTAAACAAAATATTCAATACTTACGAGGAATGTTCTCTCTGATACTTCTCAACCATCGCACTGGGTACTTGTAATTGGCTGATATGAGAAGAGGCAGTACCAGAAAAGAGTAGGTTGTAACGAACCACCCACCAAGACTAACTAAGAGTGGTACATGGCCTCTCGAACAGTAGGGTAGTAGAAATAAAATGGACAGCAGACAAACTGAAAAGCCAAAAAATAAATTAAAAACTTATTGAAATCATATTCGTCAGATTTATCGATGATAGGAAATAATTAAAACTCGTTTTTTCGCTGCACTTTTAAAAAATGTCTGTTGAAATAAGTTAGAATAGACGCCCGCCCCATCTTCGCTGGCCAATTTCTCTAATTTTTATTTGACCTATTACCTATCTTTTCTAGGCGGCTGTAACGGGCTTCGTGAATGTTCTCTCGCTAGATTTTTCTGGTTGAATTAATATTAATGGCATAAATATTGAAGTCGGACAGCACTCCGCTTTAGAGCAGATCGTCGCCTCTATTAGAATAACTAGCTAAAAATAGAGCCGTTAAAACGAACATTTATGTTATTTAGTGGATCGCAAGTGTTCCAGTGAGATTCCAACTGGAATATTATTGGACCCACGCTAAAAATCGATTTAGTTCCTGATTTAAAATAATTATCTTAAAAAATACAGAGCAAACCAAACTGGAAGAAAAAAACAACGTGTCTCAAAAGTGGCTTACTTCTATAAATTTGTTATTTTTTTAGATAAAAAAACGAGATTTGGTATGTTAGTGTATGATATACATTAGTATTGATTGATGTATTCAATTCTTTTCCGTCACTTCCTGTTTCACCGGAAATTACTGCAACTTTTGATTTTTAAATGGTACCCTCGGTATTTTTTTACTTTATTCGATAAATGATACTCGAGAATGTATCATATGTCAACTTTTGACATCTTCGCTTAGAAAAATTGTATGTTAAATTTCAATCTAGAGTGCCATGGCATGGTGTTAAAAACATTAATTTTTAATCTAGGAGCCTTGGAAAAATAGATTTGATCGTCTAATATTTTTAGTATCTTATGCAGGCCGCTTAAAAGATGCTCCAATCGCATTTTTAATCATAACTTAATTTTTTCAAATGGAACGAGGGTGGTTCATTAACATATTTGGAAAAAGTTTTTTTTGCGAATAATTTGGTACCACACACTTGGTGTTTCGTGTTAAATTATCGTTATGAACCGCATGTTACAATTTCAAATAAACCATATGCAAAAATGTCAAAAGTTGACTTATGATATGTCATTATATTCAAAGTGTCATTTTCGATTGAATAAAGTAAAAAATACCGAGAGTGCCATTTAAAAATCAAAAGTTGTAGTAATTTCCGGTGAAACAGGAAGTGGCCGAAAATTATTGAATACGTCAATCAATCCCAATATATGTCATATACTAACATACCAAATCTCGTTTTTTTATCTGAAAAAAATAAAAAAGTTTTAGGGGTAAGCCACTTTTGAGATGCACCCGGTATAGTCCATCCAACTGGAGGATACATGACAGTGACAGTTGTGTCTCAGTGATTTTTTTACATTCAAATAAGCATTTGCAGAATCTGGCATTACCGGCAAAGATATTCTAGACAAAATGTCTGATTTATCACTTCATTTCTCCTTCGAGTAGAGTAAAGAATGAGTAAATAAAATTTTATACAGAATATTGACCTTGTCTGACAGACGGTTTCCTTTTCGTTCTAATTATGTTATTGTTCAGTGGTACTATTTTCATATTGCATTTCTTTTTCTCTATATTAAGAAAATGACTAATTGTTGATTCTCGTATCAAATCGAAGGAAAACAATATTTCGATACGAATTGATCAAATTATGAGGAGCATCTGAAAATTTAAGAAATATATTTAAAAAATTATTATCGTAAACAGACGAGAATTTATTATTTTTACTGGTATATTGTTATAAAAGTCAGCGTGCTAAAAGTCCATCGATGCGGGGGATGCGTCGCATCCCTTCAAAATATTGTGCTTAGTACGTTTTTATTTAAAAAAGTCACTGAGATCTCATAATATAGTAAATTAAGATTCTCAGCAAATTTATTCAAATAATTAAATTCAATTTTAATTATTTAATTATCTTGGTCTAAGACCTACACTAAACGCTAAAAATAAAAATATCTCTACCAGCGCCAACGCGAGGATGCGACTGTTTTCGCTACATCTTGAACGCCGCCGAACGCGAGCTGGGGTCAGCGAACTTTCCGGCTGCGATTACGTCTCCCATTCGCTGTTTTAGTCGGTGGGTGATGCGGCTTTTTAAACACATCTCGTTCGCAGTATAAAATAAAAAATATAGTCGCGCGTCGCGTTGACCGATTCTGAGTGCAGGGGTAAAATAGAAATAATTTTGCAATCATCCTTCAGTTCTATGGTGTATTCAGAAAAATTAAAAACTATTGAAGAAGCTAAATTAAAAACCTCTAAAGCATATTTTGAATATTAAAGTATTATAGAATATTAAATTAAAGTCGTGTGAAATTTTAGTGAAAATGTTTATAAAAGTAAACACTGGTAATGTGGTTGTAAGGCACTCAATAAACTTTTTTGTTGGCCTTGTCTATTTTATCTAACAGAATACGTTAGCAAATTTGTTTTTTAGCTAGATTTAGTTCTTTTTAAAACTGGTTTGATTATTTTTTTAACCTGTTAAATTTTTTGTATATTTTATTTTTGTAACTTCAAAATTAAAGACTTGAAAAAAAAAGGAAAAAACTTTATTGCGTTAGTAAAATTGGAGTTACTTATTATATCCCCTTGTATTGACCCCACGCTACGCCGCTGCTAAAAGTATATGCATATACATGTTCAATATATATATATATATATATATATATATATATATATATATATATATATATATATATATATATATATATATATATATATATATATATATATATATATATATATATATATATATATATATATATATATATATATTATACATTCAACCAGTAGCACATAAAGTTATAAACATTCCTTGTATCGATTTTTTCTTTGATCAATTTATATTGAACATTCGAAGCCGTTCTAAAAAATCGATATCATTGAATGTACGGCCCATTTCTAATACGTTATCAAATCTAAACTAATCTATTTGTTAAAAATACTTTATTTAGAACAAATAATTTAATAGAGGTTTGAGTAAATATTTTCAAGTATGAGGTGCATCAACACCAGGTTAATATTATTGATCGAAAACAACTGTTAAATTGTTTAAATTTCGTTCGAAATGAGTTTACTTAGACAATATTTTTACATCCAGCTAATCGCGGCTTTCAGATAGATTCTGTCAATAATCCAGAAAACGTTTATAAACAATAGAATAGTTCCTTGTTTTTGTCCATTATCATGCGCAGTTAGAGTGTCGATAGGCAATATTTAGTTCAATACTAATTACGTTTACTTAGATTCGTTATTTCTTACATTATTTTTGTTATAGCATTTGCTTCATTTATATATTCCAAAGGTTTCGATCAACAAAAAATAACAATTATTTTTGGGGTTTAATTGCCTCGGACAATATTTCTTTAATCCACATTTTATATTAGGTATGTATACTGTCTTCTGTCACAGTTAATTATTGCTACTTTAGTCTTTTTATTTTGCATTATTCATATAGTCCAGGAGGCACTAATTTTTTTTGTACTTATTTTCCCAGTGGGTGAATACATATGTACTAATAGTTTGTTCGGATAATGACATTAAAAATGACAATTTGTCAGTCTGGCTAAAATTTTCGGATGGGTCAACACAATAGAAAAAAAATTCACAGTCCTTTACAAAGATGCAACCGGGGGGGGCATTGAAAATGATGAATAAAAACGTAAAAATATGATTAGTGTTAATATGAGTGTATTACATACATATGTTTAATTAACGAACTTAACAAAAAACAACAGATTTAAAGATTCACTGAAAAAGTAGTAGTGTTAACATTAAATAAAACATTATCAATAATAATTATGCGATCGCACCTATCCGTAAAACAAGCAAAAAAACCTCGAAAAAAACAAAATAACATACAAAACATCAGGTTAACATGATGACAGATCATGATCAATTACAGATAAAGAATTCTTACGGAAAGTTACACTTTACGATATAATTTTTTAACTGTTAAAGGCAAACCCCATTTAAACACAAAACTTTTTAATACCTACTACTGTATCTAAAAGACTTTTTTTAAATTACTAAATTCTTAGCCACGCTTCTGTTTTTCTTGGCTGTTGTGCGTCACGTCACAGATTAACAGGCCCACGTTTGCACCACAAGGCGATGCTGCAGACCACTAGGTAGACCGGTCGTAGAAATTTATGTTATACAACTTGTAGTCTTTATTAAGAGCACTAATACTCTCTTTATAGGTTATTTTTTATTCTTTGAAGGATAATTGAGGAAGATATATTTCGTTATGATGTCACTAAATAAACCCTTGTATAAAATTTTATACTGTCTGGTTTATAATGTTATAGTATTGCATTTTCGTACAGCAAACTTTCATTCCTTATTCTACTCCCTAAGGGTATAAATTTCATAAATTCGCTTTACCTTTGTGCCAATTTTTATGTGTATAATCCAGAGGTCACCAAGTTTTATATAAATTTTTACTAACTTTACCCATTTGGTTGATGAATTTCAAAAATTTCTTCTAATTCTTTTTGTAGGATTTCATTCTTCTAGACCAAATAGTAAGGAATTTTCATACAACAAACTGTTCCGAGATAATTTTACTCTCTAAGAGGATGAATTTCCTAAAATCGCTTTGTGTAGTTAATTCACTAATGTCGTTTAAACGAACCTTTGTGCTAATATTTATGTATCTAAAGCTGGCGGCATGAACTCACTCTAAAATATCTAAAAACGTATTATATAATCTAACTGACACACCACTGACAATGACAAATAATTTATTTCTGGAGGTATTGTGTGTGTAGGTGTTTTTCAGGTATGTTTTAGTATTTAGTCGTTTTACACAAAGAAATAGCCATTAAGCACTATAAAAATACTTCATAACAAATCTACACATATATACCTTTCATTTAAAAAAAGAATCATCAAGATTGGTAAAAGCGGTTTCGGCGGGATGGATGCAACAAAAACTCTTTGAGCTTTTATATATGTATGGATTAATTATTTTTCCA